GTAGCACGACGTCCCGATCCAGCCTGTCGCTCTGTCCCTAACCCTGCGTCAAATTTCTTCAAATGTGGGTAAACAGAGGCCCGATGTAGTCCCGTCAGTTTCACAAGTCTAGTTACGGATGTAATACCTGCTTCATAATATGCCAAGAGTCGATTTCTGTTCCTTTGTAACGTCATGGCAAAGCTTCGGTATCGTCTGCTAGCAACGAGGTCACGTCATCAAGCCATCCCTGAACCCAAGGGAGATACCAACGAGGCAAGCTACTGGCGGCTAGAAACAATGTATTTCGGCTTTTTTTGATAGTAGGATCGAGTCTACAGAATAAATTTTTTTGTCAATGTTTAACATATGTCAAATCAATCGGATCGAGCATTTTCCTTGTGAAGAATGATCAATCGTTGCTTTTCTTGCACCGGAATGGCCAGGTTGCCCTTGCTGCCATTATAAGAAGTTACTTAATGAAAATACTCCTTACAATACTTATTTCAATTCCGTGATATTGTACACATCATATCGAATTGCATTTTTTTCCGAAAGTCATACGGTGTTTCCTTAATAAGACCCTAAACAAGTTTTGGGGAAACGGCTAGCTATGATACATAGCGTTCACTGACATGAACAGCGTTCATGTCAGTGAACGCTAAGCATCTTAGCTAGGAAACGGCCTGTCCAATGCACGCAATTGGCAGTTGCATAGACTGAGTGTGACGCATACAATACTTTGACTCCAATCTACCAGTACAGCTTGTTAAGCTTGACCTGATGAAGTGAATAGTAATGCATTGCGTGACCGTGTCACAACTGGTTGGGTCTATTATTGTGAAGGGGTGCATCTTTGTCAGTTCATTGTCAACATGTCCGAACAGCCGAGACAAGGTCGCCGTTTGACATATCAGTGTCGAGAAATCGTTAGCGATGTCCCAACTTTCTTTAACAAAGAAGCTACAGATGGTTCTCAGCAGCAACTGGTGTTTCCAGTGCAACCGTGGGCCGAATAGAACAAGAAAGGAAAAAGCTACCCTATTTAATGAAGTTAACTCGACCTGCCGTTTGTGCCCTTTGACCTCCCGGGTCATACATATGAAGAGTAGCTCAGGTCAAGCTGAACAACCTGTAAATATATAAATAATAGAACTGTCAGCATCAGCCAACCACTACATAACGTTTACAATTAAGTCAGACGTTCCGGGTCGTACACACAGTTGAGCGGATGTACTGCTTCTACACTAAACCCTGGCCGATCCTTCTCACGATCACCCATGCAGTCGGAGTGTTGCAGGGAACGTTTGGTATTACAGGTGTCGCCTTGAAAATCACAATAAACATCATTAGCGTAAATTACCCCGATGACTCAGGAACAAAAAACATGAAGTGTGTATGTGTTGTGGTATATGTAATAGTGAAGTCCCCTTATGCTGGCCGCCAGGGATGGCAAGCAAGTATCATCTGTTGTTGGCTGTTGGTACGACGTGGCTGGCCACTGAACCGTAGCCTTCCGCCCTCGGAACAGGTGTTCCATCCACTTGACCACTGAAGTGGCATTCTTGCTGTTTCCAACTCCATCAGTCAGCCGTTACTCTTGCATGAAAGGCTCGTTGAGATGACACTAGACGGGAAATGGAGTCTGTCTACGGGGTGTTTAGATTCATTAGACATAGCGTCATCTACCTATCCGGAAATCGGTTAGTATATTATCTCGCTATTTAGTTACGATGCAAGGCATGAATAACAGTATAACGTTGTCTAGAATAGGAGTTCCTTCTTTGAGTGGCATTTAGAAGCTGGTGTGATGAAAAACAAGGAGAGTTCTATGGATATACAACTTCTTTAATATGATATGAGCGACGTTTCGGTGTAGCTTCTAACACCGTTATGGAGCTATTAGAATAGGAGTTTTTTTGGTTGTGTGATGTCTAATTGCCGAACTATATTCTCATGTTCGAACCATTCCTAAAAAGCTTATCTTTGAATTGCAAAATACCTTCCAGTAATCTTGCTTTGTGACTATATATTTACCTAGTAGCAATGCCTACTTTTATAGTTATCTTGACATCGCCTAGCTATCTGTCCATTGGTCTATAGATGCAGCAAACTATCACTGTAGTTGTATGCCCTTTTACCTAGCAATCTTGGGTTCTTCAAAGTAATCAATATATATTTCTTTCACATGTGCGATGCGAACAACGCATTAACAAACTGTTATAGGTGTTGAAGAACGTCTGCTTGTTATTAACAGGTTATCGCCCTGTCTTGTGTTGAAGCTGGCGATATATAGGACTGATCAAGTATATTTAACGGTGTTTCATGATCTGTCATCTGCCAGCACTGAGAATAGACCATGTCATAAAGTGTTATGTGTTATCGAGCTCTAGGAAGTCTTAAACTCACATAACAGTACTTTCGGATGACAATATGTGATTGGTTTTGGTTGGTTGGTTTGTTGTTTAACGCCGCACTCTGCAATATCCCCGCTACATGGCGGCGGTCTGGAAATAATCGAGTCTGGACCAGACAATCCAGTGATCAACTGACATGTGTCAACCAAGTCAGCGAGCCTGACCACCTGATCCCGTTGGTCGCCTTTTACGACATGCATGGGTTGCTGAAGACAAATTCTAACCCGGATCTTCACGGTAGGCAACATCTGAAGTACATCAAGCTGATATACGAGTTTCGTCCCTTAACCGTTTCATGATCCGCTAAACAATGGTTCGAATCCCGGATCTATCCTGATCATGATCTTTCGATCTGTCAGCCGAAGTTGATAATAGTCTAGGTATGTCACATCCTCGATAATTTCCAGGGTATACGTTACGATAAGTCTCCACAATAAGGATAATAAAATCATCCGGCCGAGCCATAGATGCATCCAGGGTGTAGTGGGGATTATCGAGGATGGGTATGTCACAGCGACCTGTAAATAATCTTGTCCAGGACAGGCAAATCAGTGATTAAAGACACGAGCAACGACATGAACTGGGACAAGCAGGTCAGGTTTAACTATGATGGGAATATGGGTTGTGGGTCCTGGAGGTTGGGTACCTAAATCTATTCTATCCCTTGTACTACGAGGTCGTGGCTACCTCGTGGCTATTCCAAACATTGCAAGTCCAGGCTTTGTTTGTTGTTTAACACCGTACTCGGCAATATTCCAGCTATTTGGCAGCAGTCCGTAAATAATCCGAATCTGGACTAGACAACCCAATGATCAACATCATGAGCATTGATCTACAGTTGGGGTACGATGACGTGTATCAACTACGTCAGTGGGCCTTACCACACGGCCCCGTTAGTCGCCCCTTACGGTTTTCTGAAGACCAATTCTAACGCCGATCTTCACGGGGGCAGTGTGCTAGGCATTCGTATGTGCAAATCCACTGAATGGCATAACCTTCATTACAGTTAATGTATCGGAAAAACAACAACAAAGGTGTACCAGGTGTACGCCAACGTTAACACAACTCGCTCCATCGGTAGCACCCGTCACAAACACTTGCATAAGCAAGTCAATTCTTCAACTGAATAAAAACACGAGACTTTATTGGAAAACTAAATCACAGGTAATTGTATCGGACATCACTTTGTTTGCTGATGTAGATTTAATCCATTTTCACCACAGTATTGACGTTTACAGGATGTAACCTTGCCACACTGTTTTACTATGTACGTCATTACATAATTATGAGACATGAGTAAGGTGCGCTCTGTAAAGTCATGCGTAATCGCCTCATGATCGCATGGCATGACAAGCCATTCAAATGCATTAAAGATTATACAAGATCTCCATTTACGTCCGTTTAAGAGTAATTACAGTCGCGTTAAGCCGTATTGAGTTTAGATAATGTAACTTGCTTCACAGAAGGTACACATGCATAGGTACAACCATATATTATTGCAAAACAATCATTAGTACAGTTACAGGTTGCAAATCTGCAAAAGAATCGATTCCAGAGTTCCCTGAACGATACCCCATACATCTTGATTATGATCCCTGGTCTGTCTTCTTTACAATCGTGATCGTGTGTCCTCCTAAGATCTACGACCCACGTACTGTAGAGTCGACTGGGCGTTGGTTCGAATCCAGTGGATACGATAATGTTTCATTTGTATAACGTTGGGCGCGGAGAGTCATTGGATGGGTGACCGTGTTTGTCAGCTTGACTCCTGAAAGTTTCTAGGACTTCAGTCCTGTCCCACAACGAAGCACAAGTGAGTTTGTTAAAAAAACTGCCTCTGTTCACCCAGTAGAAAATGGGTCCCCGGTGGGATAAGTCATGCAACTATCAACCTTATAGCGCCTCACAAGCAGCGTGGGTTATCCGGGGTAATAATACTCAGATTATATTTGTCCGCTTTGAGCAGGAAAAGTCTGGAAAGGCGCGTTATAAATAGTCTACATAATTATTAGCATTATGTAATGAGAGAGAGAGAGGGGTGCGCACCACCACCACCCCCCACCCCCCCTTTGTCCTGAAAGTTTATTAAATGATCATTGAAACTCTCGTGGAGATGAAGTGTGCACCCCTACTTTCTCAGAAAGCTGTATCCGCCCATTTTTTTGTAGAATCATATATACGAATGGGGTTTTCTGTCTCATTAGGAAATAACAGCGTGTGACGGAGTTTGGTCTAACGCGTTTCAGATTGATGTGGGAGAAAATCCCGAAGTAAAGAAGTTGTCTCTTACAGAAAGCTTGCCGCTTTGGTGAAACCCGCGAGCAAGGGCTGGTACCAAAAACATCCACAAATAAAACTTAACAATACAATACGAGTGAACGTGACGCTTAACACAATATCGCACATCGTAGGGTATTGCCACACATAGGGAACTCGACTCGTCGGTGACGAATGGCACACGCATGTCTACAGGTAAAATATTACGTATCAATAACGTTTGTTTTGATTCTTTTTCCATGTCTTATATGAAATAGCTTCCTGTTTGCATGTCATATATCAATGGTAACCTACGAGGTAAATCAATCAAACGTATGTTTGTTACAGCAGGCTAGGCGAGAAGCTGCCACGATCAATCGCCATGTCAGCCGTGGGTAAAACACACAGGGTAGTCGAGCAATCAAAGGCATCAGTCTCAAGAGCAACTCATGGACTGGCCTAACGTGTTCTACGGGTGCGCCCAGCCATCACTAATTACACCAATACAACCAGGAAACTTCAAGACGTGAACCACAGTAAAAGACTCACTGAGACTTAATTTGATATTTGACAAACTCGGCCTTGCTGGTCTATAACCGACTTCTCTGTGTCTGGTGCTAATTGGAACATCTGATAGTTGGCAGCAGTTAAAGGGACAACATGGACAAGAAGAATGGTATAATAAAAACAGAGAAAAATGACTCTTCCCCTTCGAAAGGAAAAGTTAAACTGAACGTTGGAGGTACTTTGTTCTTCACCACAAGGGAGACAATAAACCAACACCCAGGAACACTTCTTTCCCAGTTGAGCTCCTCGTCCTCCTTTTATGACAAAGTGAACGGGGAATACTACTTTGATAGAGACCCTATTGCCTTTGCCTGCATCCTGAACTTCTATCGCACCTCGGAGCTGCACCTCCCCACCAACCTGTGTGGCAATTCCTTGCGAAGAGAGCTGAAATTTTGGCAAGTGGAAGAGAATAATGTTTCCGAATGCTGCTGGAAACTTCTTCATGAGACTGACCAGGGGAAGGCGGTCATCGACACCCTCAACACCAAGCTGAAAGATGATGACATGACCACTGGAATCGACGCCTCCTCTTGGAAGATATGGCAGAGACGGATCTATCTCTTATTGGACAAACCAAATTCCTCCAAAGCAGCAAAGGTAATATATTACATACAGTCATACAATTTTGTGTAAAGTAAAATCTCGATAATCCGGACGGTTCAGATCCATAAGAAAGCGCCCGTAGTGTTCCCTTTGTATAACGAATCATAGGTGTAAACAGTATATTCCAAGAAGTAGTTTATGACAGTTCCAGAGACCGGACTGACTGGTTTTCCACAACGACAGGGTGTCGCTGTATTTATGATACATTTGTATAAGATAAATATTAATGCTATCAGATAGGTCACAAGATTTTCATGAAAATTATTGCTATTTTTCTTTTGTTGTATGTCACTATACTTCCGAACCAAGAAATATGTTGTAGGGCATCCTCATCGTTACAAACAGAAAAACACCCGATCCAGCAGCGTTGACGTTATCATATACTTCCCATCAAAAGTTTAGACTCACTTAAAACACTCACTATATGTTATGTACATGTGGTTACACCGAAGATGAATTTCTCCACTAACTTGGGGGAACCAACAGCAAACCTTATGCAGATGAATTGCACGAGGATCATGCATCAAATTGCTGAAAAGCATGTGCAAATATCATGCATGTGAACAGCTGCGTTTTGGTGTAAAGTTTTGTTAAGAATTCGCCAATTTTCACTGAGTTTCATCATTTGTGTAACAATAATCTGTTCAACGTTACGAATTTGTTTTACAATACATCAGTTCATGTGTAAAGAGTATCTTTAACAGTATGGAATGTTTTGCAAAATGTAGTTTAGAACAGTTGCTTGAAGTAGGTGGCTATATTTACATTAGTGAGTCTAAACTTTTGATGGAAAGTATATTTTGCCAAAGCTTTAATAACATATTAACTTCGCATCAGCTATATTACAAACACAAATTGTCATCGCAATCAGGAGAGAAAGCAGTTAGGAGAGTGTCGCAAGAACAGCATTGAAATCAAAGGCAAAAACACCAATTACACACACAGAGCTATTAGTAAATTAATCAGTCACCTTGTTGGGGGTCGTTGGGCATTAGAATATGATGTCCTATCAGGATTTTCACTCAATCACCTTGTTGGGGATCGTTGGGCATTAGAATATGATGTCCTATCAGGATTTTCACTCAATCACCTTGTTGGGGATCGTTGGGCATTAGAATATGATGTCATCAGGAACTCAATCACCTTGTTGGGGGTCGTTGGGCGACGTTGGGCATTAGAATATGATCCTATCAGGATTTTCACTCAATCACCTTGTTGGGGATCGTGGGGTATTAGAATATGATGTCCTGTCAGGATTTTCACCATTATCCAAATTCCACCCAATACCTAAACGTCAGACAGGGCTGAAATGGTGCTATGTGCTCGTTCGAATCCCAGATCCGAGAACCATATATACATATATCGCCAGTTTCGGTTATTCGCCTTATTTTTAGGGCGTAACAGGCAAAATAGTTATGAAAATTACATGAACGGATCACTGAAAATTGGTGAAGAAAGCAGGAGCTAGCGATGAGTGTAGGCATTGTGTAAACACAATTTGCATGATTAAATGAGGGGTTTGTTTTCTACATCTGCACCCAGTTATTATCCTGTCAGAAAATGAACCAAACGATCAGGTGACGGCGAAACTGAAACAAACGGTCCAATAACACAATAAGAAATTGGGAAAGAAGAAAGTAACAGCATTCCGAGCAGAGAGGACATTTCACTAAATTGCCTTAACAATCGTAGTAGAGAGGGACAGATTACTAAATTGCCTTAACAATCGTAGTAGAGAGGGACAGATTACTAAATTGCCTTTAGAGGCCTAGTAGAGAGGGACAGATCACTAAATTGCTTTAACAATCCTAGTAGAGAGGGACAGATCACTAAATTGTCTTTACAATCCTAATAGATAGGGACAGATTACTAAACCGCCTTAACAATCCTAGTAGAGAGGGACAGGTTGCTAAGTTGCCTTAACAATCCTAGTAGAGAGGGACATTTATCTAAATTGCCTTAACAATACTTGTAGAGAGTGACAGATTACTAAATTGCCTTAACAATCCTAGTAGAGAGGGACAGGTTGCTAAGTTGCCTTAAAAATCCTAGTAGAGAGGGACAGGTTGCTAAGTTGCCTTAACAATCCTAGTAGAGAGGGACATTTATCTAAATTGCCTTACCAATACTAGTAGAGAGGGACAGATTACTAAATTGCCTTAACAATCCTAGTAGAGAGGGACAGATTACTAAATTGCCTTAACAATCCTAGTAGAGAGGGACAGATTACTAAATTGCCTTAACAATCCTAGTAGAGAAGGACAGATTACTAAATTGCCTTAACAATCCTGGTAGAGAGGGACAGATTACTAACCTTAACAATCCTAGTAGAGAGCCTAGTTGAAATTGCCTTAGGAGGACAGATTACTACATCGCCTAGTAGAGAAGGACAGATTACTAAATTGCCTTTAACAATCCTAGCCTACTAAATGAAGAGAGGGGACAGGTTACTAAAATTGCTAGTTAACAATCCTAGTAGAGAGGGGACAGATTACTAAATTGCCTTAACAATCCTAGTTAAAGAGAGAGGGACAGATTACTAAAACTGCCTTAACAATCCTAGGGACAGGTAATTACTATCGCCTTAACAATCCTAGTGAGGGGGACAGATTACTAAATTGCCTTTACAATCCTAGTAGAGAGGGACAGGTTACTAACTTGCCTGAACAAGCCTAGTGGAGAGGGACAGATTATTACCTAACAAGCCTAGTTAAAAGGGCAGGTAACAATCCTAGTAGAGAGGGGGACAGATTACTAAATTGCCTTAACAAGCCTAGTAGAGAGGGACAGATTACTAAATTGCCTTAACAATCCTAGTAGAGAGGGGCAGGTTACTAACGTGCCTTAACAAGCCTAGTGGAGGGGGGCAGGTTACTAAATTGCCTTTACAATCCTAGTAGAGAGGGACAGATTACTAAATTACCTTAACACAGCCTACAAGCCTGTAGAGAGGGGGACAGATTACTAAATTGCCTTAACAAGCCTAGTTAAAATTGCCTTAACAAGCCCTAGGTAATTAATTACATCGCCTTAACAAGCCTAGTGAGGAGGGACAGGTAACTATATTGCCTCAACAAGCCTAGTGGAGTGTGTGTGGGGTGTGGGGGTGGGTGTGTGGGGGGGGTTACTAAATTGCCTTTACAAGCCTAGTAGAGAGGGGCAAATTACTAAATTGTCTTAATAAGCCGAGCGGAGAAGGACGGGTTACTAAATTACCTTCACAAGCCTGGTTCAAAGGGGCAGGTTACTAAATGGCTAAAACAAGCCCAGTTACATGTTAGTAACATGGCTAAATAATATGAGAGAGGGATTAGACAAAACTCGGAGCACACCTTTCAGCACTTTTGAGGTCATTACAGAATGATATCAAGGTCAAGGTCCATTTCTGGTGTCCCCAGCGGAGATATTGCTGGAAAATTGCTAAACTCACTCACTATTAAGAGACACTGACGCTGGGAAAAGATGTGCTCTTTGCACCAAGGAAATGTGCCAGTGCTAAAATCAGTAATTGCCATCGCTGCAATCAACCTCAGTGGCTCTGAACGCCCCCACTAGTTGCAATATTCTCCCGATCTTGGTGCAGCAGATCTCCATCTGTTCCCAAACACAGCTCTGGCTGGAACCAGTTCTACAAGAACGACAAAATAACACTTATGAAGAAGTGTTCGACAGACAGGAAAGGACACCTGGGAGAATCGGATCAACTCCTTGTGGTTTTTAGGTTTGTACCCGAGACTCAGAACGTATAATGAATTGCAATTCGACCAGAGCCTGCAACCCTACCAGGAAGTAGTATTGCTGACTGTATAACAGAATTTACTTCGCATGAGTCAAAATGTGGAAAGTCTTGCAACTGCTAGTTTTTTCCAACAATGAAATAGCTCAGTTTCATGTCCTCTGAGAGCATCAGCCCAAAATACGCCAAAATAATTATACCCCACTAAATATATTTTCACATCACAAATGCTTTTAGGTTACATTACGATATGTTACTGGTAATATTCATGACTGGAACAAAACCGTTGTGCTTGTCTTATTTAACTTTAGCATACTACAGTTGCTTTTCAATAATTGGACGAATTCATTTACATGCAAATGCTACGTAATGAAAACTATCAATATGAATCAGCTTGTACTAATCAACCGGGGATCCAGTCATTTAACAATCTGAAACGGTGTCAATCCTTCCTTTTTACTTTATCTTTCCTTTGTTTAAACAAACTCATACGTTGAAACTCTCGCTCGCTTTACCATGGAGTCCTGTCCGCCATAACTAAGCAGTCCCCAGTGTTTGAAGGAACTAATTAACCCGTGCAAAATATCGGGGCACAAGTGGCGTATTGGTATACAGAACTGTTTATCTGAACCCCACATATCTGGAAACCTCATGATGATGATGATGATGATGATGATGATGATGATGATGATGATGATGATGATGATGATGTGATGATGATAATGATGAACTTTCCGACATAATGCGTATTCGCACACGGGCCGCCAGGCCATTTGTGTTTGATCAAAGGAGTGAGTTGGTTAGTTTTACACCGCTTTCAGCAATATTCCAGCAATATCACGGCGGGGACCACCAGAAATGGGCTTCACACATTGTAACCATGTGGGGAATCGAAGCCGGGTCTTCAGCGTGACGAGCGAACGCTTCAAGCACTAGGTTACCCCAGCGCGTGTCTCTCTGGAGACCCATTCTGTGTTGGTGGTAGTATATGCAGTGTAGTAGGACGTGTTCGCGCGTTTCTGTTTCGTTGCAGTGTGTGTATGTGTCTGTTTGGTTTTTCTATAAATTTTATGTAGATGGGAATTTAATTTTGTTTGACCTGTTTGTAATTTAGTTACAGCCCTGGCAATATTTTTAGCTGCATTGTATTTTTAAATATGTTTTGAGTGTTTTTTAAGAAGACGTTTTAGTTTAGAATTTGTTTGTGTTCACTTGGCCACTTTGGGAAGAATTTTTGTTTTGAGAGGCTTTTGATTACGTTTTTAGATGATGGTATGTTTAAGTTCACTTCTGGGAGTGCCGAGACTTGGTCGGTCTGTTCGGTGCCATACACACCAAGATGGGCAGGGATCCAGGTGATCTTTTTTGCTAAGGATTGTAGATCCTGAATGTTTTTTAGTATTTCGTGTATTGGTTTAAGTTTTTGTTTGGTGTGTTTGTTTTTTATTGCTTGCAGCCAGTTGAGTGAGTCTGTTAGAATTAAATATATATTGTGTTGTTTGACGAGCGGATCATGGAGTAACCGAACGATTTTTAATTGAAACGAAAAATATACTGCATAAATAAATAGTTGTTATTTTTCCGGATCCGGGCAGTAATTTCATTTATCACCAGTCCCAAGTGCACGTTATTGTGTCCCACTCAGCGGACAGCGCTTTGCGATATTTTGCAATTCATCACCTAGTATCCAAGATCAAAGTGCGGATGTCATGTGATCCCAATGATTATTTATTCCCGTAATTGCTCTTTAAAATTGGATTTATTTTATTGCTTTTATTCAAAATTGCATACGTTGGTCTAAGTCGGTATTTCAAGACGGAACTCGCTTGTGGAGTTAGTCACTTAAGTTAGTTAGAATAGAATCTAATTAGTTAGTTAGAATCTTATAAAAGTAAACAGATCCCAGTCAGATTGAGATCCTTGCTGAATATATCTCCAAACTGTCTCTTGGGTTTTAGTGAGAGTATGCAATATTCCAGCAATATCACGGCGGGGGACACCTGAAATGGACTTCTTGTCAAGATGCGACCTGCGACAGTTTCACCTTTTACCAACCAACGAACTGACACATCGTGATATAATGAAATTACTGCACAAAGTAATGTCAAACCTAACTCCCTAACTGGCAGAACATCAAATATTGTAGACTAATTTCTTTCACTGGACCATATGACAGTACGCAAGAAGGAATATCAAGTTTTAAATCATCTTATTAAGATTCGTTGAATGTTAATTTGTACATCTATAGAAATTTGAAGGTTTTCCAACGTAAGGAAGAAGTAGTATAAAAGATGTCCCATGTGTGATCGATGTGGCCGATCCATGTGGCCATTCCAACGTACTACTGACACTATAGGGATCAGTAAGACTATCTCCGTGGACACCCTCTTCATGGATCACTGGATTGTCTGGTCCAGACTCGATTATTTACAGACCGCCGCCATGTAGCTGGAATATTGCTGAGTGCGGCGTAAAACTAAACTCACTCACTCACATGTTTGTAAAGAGCGACTGGAATTGGGATATATTAGTGACACCCATTAGGCTCACCTAATCCGGAAGCAATGCTTAGTGCTCGTTGTATATTTGCTTGGTCTGGAAAGTTGTCAAGTAGCTGTAATACAGTTGGAGTAAAGTTGACAACAATCTTTACTCACTGAGTTTCAACCACATTAACTGAAATTTACGGCAGTTGATGTACCACAGATCCACATGTAAAAGTGCTCTTTTAAAGGGATGTTCGCCCGTTTTTACATTCATAAGTTTATAAAAACTGAAAACTGTAACAACAAGGTACAGCGAATGGTCTCTGTTCAGACCGATGCTGTCAGGTTTATCTCAAAATGGGGCCTAGAGGTTTAAGCGTTCGCTCGTCACGGCAAAGACCCGGGTTCGATTCCTCACGTGGGAACATTATCTGAAGCCCATTTCTGATGTCCTTCGCGGAGATATTGCTGGAATATTGCTAAAAACGGCGTAAAACCATACTCACTTAAACACTTTTTCTTATCATCGTTATTTGCAGCTATCCTATCTCTAGCCATTTCCACTATCATAAGAATTTCCTGCAAGAAGCAGATTCCTTTTTAGGTTCTATTCGTAACTGGGAATGCGTTTCTTGGTCCACAGGTTGTGCGCGAAACAAACACATTCAAATAAACAAACACGAGGACATAGGGCATATTGCATCCGACACAATGTTAGTCTCTGATACTTCAATTTTAGGCCTGTCGTGTGTTTATCATACAACCCTTTGAACGCTTTACGGAAGCCTTGGCTGTTACTGAAATATTCATAGAATCTAAGAATCTGAAGCAACAATAATAACGTGATAACCGATTCTCGACGCCTCACATGATTGGACTAAGTGTTTGTGAATCGACTGAGGCTGCCTTCTATCAGCAAATTTAACTCTAAAGCAGAAAAAACATAGTTGTCCAACTGACTGTGTCCTTTACCAACTTCTTGTAATATTGTTCAGCACAGAGTAGATGTAGTCCCCAGCTAACTGGCATAGTAAAGGAGATAGGGCTACACGAGGTGTAGGAAGATGTATTGGTTTCATTAGAAACCTTGAAGTTTCTGGGTATTTCAGAGCCATGTTGGCTCTTTGGTGGTGTTTCCATGGTAACCATGCTGTTTTAGACAGAACACTACTGCTGTGTATCAATCGTCACTATAAATAGATATGAAATCATTTTTAAGAATGCATGTGTTGCTCCAAGCACTGTTCCACCGAATCATTGTAAAATGCCAGGGTCAAAGGACAAGGTCACAGTAATTAGTTGCCAGTCTTCCCTGAAATTCAATATTTTATCGTGTATCGTTGCGGCTGAGTGCATAATAAGTCCAGCACCATGTGTTTGGTATCATAAGATACCTCACAGATTCTACTTTATGACAAACGTTCAAAATGATAAATGTTAGGACAGTTCGGATTTGGGGCGTTTCCATGGTTACCATGCATTTTCAATTCTATCACATAAATGCATTAAATCATGCCTTTATGTGACTAGATACCCAGGGATATTACACGTGCTCACGTTATCCTGCACTCTGCATCGTTAATGTATATGTGGATAAACATCTTCAAGGTCAAAGGTCAAGGTCTGCCACTTTCAAATCTGGTAACACTAGTTTTGGAAAACTAGAGATTCTAACCTTCCTAACGATACGAAATACATCTTGTTATACCTCAGGTAGACGGGTTTTAATTTTGGACACCAGAAACCACTGTTCTAGCTGTCTTAACACGGAATCTAGTGAATACATTGAATCTATTGTTCGAAGGTCGGATATAACATTTCGAAATTATATACATAGTACACTACGACGATATTATCATTTGGCGAAATCATCAGCGTAGGATACAGTCTTTGCGCTGCATACGGTAAAACATGTTTCTTTAACCATGAATTGTATTTTCATGGAGAGGAGAAGAGACAGAGTCTATTGAACACGTTCACGGTCTGGTAACCACGTAAACTTACGATGTGCCTTTACTTTCAAACTTCACCAACAAGCAAGTATTCGTTTGTGCGTAAAATCCCAAACGATTTAGTCTTTGTCAGCGTCTGTGGATATTCTTCTTACTTAACAACTTCAATCAAAGTATCGCACGTCACAGAAGTTGGCAGGGTGACAGGGATGGTCTCGCCAGGACACGCGCTATTCCTAAAAGACATTGGTTTTAGGTTGTGTGACATAATGTGTTTTCTCATCCTTGAAAGAAACTGGGCTGCAGAACATGCGGCTCCTTTGTTCTGCCAAAGCAACTACATATTGCATACAAATACTGCTTATGTCAGCCCACACACAGTTTCTATTTCCATTTGTATTCATGCAGTACAAGTCTCACACTTCGTTTTTCATCTGCAATACAGCAACAGCTTCTGACATCGCAAGGAAGCTGATATTGAAGCAAGACAATCATCAGATACAAAAACTTTCTTTGTTTATCTGCTAAGAGACCGTGTCCAAAGAAGCGCTTGTAAAACATAGGTTTTCAGCAACCTGGCAAAAAATATATCTGCAACGATTTACTGGTATGTGTTTCTTTTGAAACGAACTATTTAGGTTCATAGTTCCGATGAAACAGCTCTTAGGTCTTGCAGACATAGCTGGAAAATATCTAGTAATAAAGTAACAGAGAAGGAGATGATATCTATAATACTGAAACAAATATTGATATATCCAACCTGTACATTAACACCATAAAGTGTACCTTCTAATTTGGAAATCGTTTTGTCTTTCAGATTTGGAATTACTTCTTCTTGATGTTTATAATCGCCTCGGCAGTCATCTACTGCGTTGAGACTGTTCCAGAAGCAAGGGTGCCTCGGGAACAGAATGGCAAGCAGAGGATAGGGCAGACAATGCTGGAGAGGCTGGTCAGAGACAAGGACAACATCAAACTTAAGATGGTCATCGATTCGGAAGCCCATCCCATCTTGTACTACATAGACATCGTGTGTCTCTCTGTCTTCACCTTAGAGCTCATTATCCACTTCATCACTTACCCCAAGAAGGCCAGGTTCTTCAGAAAATTTCTGAACTGGATTGACATCATCACTGTGTCCATGGGATGGGTGGTGTTCTTCATGGAAAGAGGTTTTCAAGAGGGAATATTAGTTCTCTCACTGGAGCTTTACATCGCCTATCTAACGCTGAAGAGTCTGTACATCCTGAGACTGTTCCGATTTTTCCGCTTGGCAGATCGTTTCACCGGTCTTAAGGTCATGATGCTGGCCGTCAAATCCAGTCTGACTGAACTCTCGCTGCTGCTCTTCTCCATCATGATTCTCGCCACCATGTTTGGGTCGTTCGAGTTCTACTGTGAGTTTGACAACAACCATTTCGACACAATCCCAATCTCCATCTGGTGGGCTCTGGTTACCATGACAACCGTGGGCTACGGGACTACTACCCAGCCTCCTACTGTGGGCGTGGCATGGGGACGATGTGTGCCTTGAGTGGTCTCCTCATCCTTGCCATGCCTATTGCTGTCATAGCAACCAACTTCAATGAGTACTATTCCAGAAACCAGTGTCGGGAGAAGAAGAGGAAGAAACATGGATGGGCTGAGGGAACGGAGCAGGTTGGAATAACATTCGTGAAGAAGATTTGATCTGAAGCCACCGACTGTGTATTCTAATGAAAGACAGCCTACGATAAATAAGGATATTTTTGTAATTTGTACCTAGGTACTTTGGTGATTGCCTTCATGTGCCGAGTCATCTTTTTGTCCTGCCATGTGATATATGTCTGTTATTGCCTTGTGAATCTCTTGGGGTTATTGTCCTCTGATCTTTGTTTCTTATTACCCTGTGATGTCTGTCAGTTATTGTACAAGAATGTAGGTGTGCTATTGTCTAGTTCCTGTCTACAGGTCTTTGCTCAGTGATTGATATCTGTTATCGCCCATAGTTTCAATGCGATGATAGGAGCGGTAGTTATGTTATTGACCAGTGTAGCAGGGACATTGGGAAACGTGAGCGCGGTATATTTTAACTATAGTACCGTAATGAAGAGTAAACATGGACTACGCAGTAACATAAATGGGCCACATTGTAAAGTACTAGTAAATGATGAAAGCCTTAAGAATAGAAGGTAAACAGTACCACCCCTTTCAAAAGAAAGAGGTGAGGTGAGGTGAAATTGGGTTTTACGTCGTGCTTGAGAATTTTTCGCTCATATGACGACGTTTCAAAAGAAAGACGTTCAATAGCAAACTGAATAGTTACTTATCAGAGTTGAATTGTACCAATTATGCCAGACTAAATTATGGTAAAACAAGTGACTTGACCCCAACATGGTGTCGCAGACAAATAAACCTCATGTTTAATCCGAGGTAAGCTAGTTATTTTATTATCCCCAAAAAGGACTTCCCATTAACTACATGCTTCTGTTACGGTATCCAGTTACTATATTTAGATTAGTTCCTCCATTTCATTTGGACATTTTGTGTATTGTTTCGTATACATGCTTTTGTAAAATATTTTTTTATATTTTATCCTGTGTGAAAATCGGTATTCGTGAGTTAGGTGTTGTAATTGTAACAAACATGACACAATGTTATTCTGTTAAAGAATAAATAACTAGTGGTGCCCCTGTTAGAGGCAGAGGTGGCCAGTTTCCCAAGACGCGGTTAGTACCTGCGCAGTGTTGTACCCTTTACCTAAGTTGGAGTCTGTCAGCTAGTGATTGGTTACCCTTTGTATCACTGGTAGTAATACAAATGCACAGTATCACAACCGATACAATCTCCACAAATTCGTTAGCACCAGTGAAGATCCGGGTTAGAACTCATCTTCCGCAACCCATGCTTTTCGTAAGAGGCGACTAGCAGGATCGGGTGGTCAGGCTCGCTGACTTGGTGCGTGTCATTATATCCCAATTGCGTAGATCGATGCTCATGCTGTTGATCATCATGGATTGTCTGGTCCAGACTCTATTATTTAGAGCCCGCCGCCATATGGAATTTTGCTGAGTGTGACGGTAAACAAGAAACAAACAAAACAAATTCGTTCACGAGTTCGTGGACTGGAGCAGTCCAGGACCAGTGACGTACACCTTTGTATCTCCACACCTTCATCCCAGTCCTTTATCTATTACCTTGTAGGGGCGGCGGGGTAGCCTAGTGGATAAAGCGTTCGCTCGTCACACCGAAGACCCGGGTTCGATTCCCCACATGGGTATAAGGTGTGAAGGCCATTTCTGGTGTCCCCCGCCGTGATATTGCTGGAATATTGGTAAAGGCGGCGTAAAAACCTAAACTCAATGTTACACTAGTCTGTGTACACTGATCAGATGACCGCGTTAATTAAGTCATTAAGATTTCACTGAGGAGTCTTGCGCTTTATATCACTTAGTACTTTCATGATAGCCATTCTGACCTCTTGCTATACAATTAATTTTGGCGTCTATCGTGTTGACCATATTTCCCGTGTAATATCTGACACGAATTATCTACGATACATGCGAAATTAAAGATAACACGAATTGTCTATGGTACATGCGAAATTAAAGATGCACCCTGTAAAACTGTTCTCTTATTTATTTCCTTCAGTATATGATGACACCGATAGCTGGGGGTCGATGCAACAGCTTTAGGTACCATGCTCATATTTTCCATGTTATTTCGCATTTCTTCCGATATTTCCATTTTGTTCCATGCATACGAACGACTCATGACTAGCAAAATCAGAAGAAGAAAAAACAGCTGGTAAAATATTGTTATTTTACATTTCCGCAAGCACGTACACAGATCTGTGTTTATATGATTTTATCAATTAAAGTGCAATATTCACTGGTTATATTATTATCAAGAGACAAAGACCAATCAGTCTGTGACGTGCCACGTGAAAAAACACCGCCTTGAGTAGAAAGTGGAATCGATTGCTGTTGATTTTCGATATCCACTACCTTAAGATAAATCGGTGATAATATTTCCGATATTTCAACAGAATGGGCATATCACATATTAACTAATGTAGGTATTTGGAAGGCTAAATCTGAACCCTGACCCAGATATGACTACTTTCGTCACATTCATACGTTCGTATTTCGATCAGAAGAACGCTGTCTTTTGTTTGAGATTAAACCAAACCAAGGAGAACAAAGTAATTGTACTTTGTTATTTTACTGTCAGATGCTGATGAAGCACTTGAGCAGAAAAACAACTATATCTTATTTCAATAGGCACAGTTCAATCTTTATTTAATACTTAACCTGCACAGGCCTGCAGTACAATATATAGTAGTACAATATATAGTAGTACAATATAAAGTAGTACAATATAGAACAGTGTTATATACGATATTGATATTATGTTTTCATATAATTATCACCTTCAGACGATGCTCGATGGCGATTATTCTTTTTTGAGTTTCATAGCGTGATGCATAACCATAGCAACATTCTGAATCACAACATGGTTATTGCAGTTTAATGAGGATAAAATGTATCTATAAGTGAATGAACATAGTAAAATTCTTTAAGGTACTTTCTACGTAGTTTATCATATAATGGAGATGATTGTCATGTTCTAAGACATTAATATTGCATGATTTACATAGGCATAATTATGCTGCCATGTTGGCCGTTCTGGGTGGCAGAAGAATTTATCTACACAGTAGGACTAGTTCCTTTCAATAGGTATAAGAAATTCAAATAACAAAACTGCACTTGGAAACCACATCGTCCTTCAGCTGTTCTGAACAGTGTCACCTAAGAGTTGTTGGACATTGTTGTTTTTTGATACTGCTGTACAGTCGCTTCTATAGCATACTAGCTCTATGTTTCAGCATCACTGCTGAGCATTAATGACCATTTGACAAAGCACGTGAAGACGCAGATAACCTTGCTTCTCAGGGTCGTTGTCAGATTACATCGTCGCCGCTAGTGGAATGACAGCAAACTTGGCTAAATAAGGCGTGTAAATGAGCCTACCATGAAATGCAGCAGCGTTCCAAGACATCTGAGCGGGATTTGAACTATGACGAATAAATAAGTCGTTCATGTAGTGGAAATACGGCAGAATTGGCAGACATTTGAGCTGGATTTGAACTTGGCCAAATTAAACTAATAAAATAGCCGTTAATGTAAGTATCAGCTCGAACAGCGGGAACACATTCGCCATTTTCACCGTTTTCAGTGTTTTTTTACTTGGTGGACTCTAAATAAAACGACCCGCAAAAGATCCGGGTTATAATTGGTCCGATATAATGTCTACAAATTCGTTCGCACCAGTGAGGATTGGGTTAGAACTCGTCTCCAGCAACCCATGCTTGTCGTAAGAGGCGACTAACGGGATCGGGTGGTCAGGCTCGCTGACTGGGTAGACACTTCGTATCCCAATTGCGTAGATCGATGCTCATGCTGTTGATCACTGGATTGTGTGGGCCAGACTAGATTATTTAGAGCCCGCCGCCATATAGCTGGAATATTGCTGAGTGCAGCGTAAAACAAAACTCACTCACTCTAAATAAAATGTTAGAAACTGTCTTTGTTGCTAATGCACATTTATCTATTCTGGATGTTTTGCTGAGAGAGGGGACGTGTTAAAGCTCATTTACGATCAATGCGTATTGTTAAACTGGCGATTTCACTATGTGTTCGACTAAGTTACTGTATCGCATAATGAACTGGTTTTATTTTTAAATTGTGTTGTTTGCTTAACACCTTAGTCAGCAATAGCTCCGCCGCATGTAATCAGTCCAACCTAGATCAGACAAACCATCTCCCTTGAGCATGTTCAATAACACCAGGTCCACAAGTTATTGCGTACTCAAAGGCCTTTACTTTGTGCTATGGATCATTCCATCAATTGTACTTACATTTCTCAATTTGATTTGGTGATTTACTTTAACCGCGATATAACAATTTTCCTGTTTCCATAAAAACAAATATTCTGACGAATTCAGAGGCAACCCGATTCAGTTAACTCCTTTTGAATGTTATGTAGTATCAGTTATCATTGTCTGTTATCCTCATGATATTGGCTTTTTTACCGAGAATTTAATTAATTCCTATATGTACCAGCAGCATGTTTGTTTGCGAAGTGTCCCTTGACAACCTGACGTCTTATATGTTTATTGTTGCTATCTATTAAAGTTAATCAAATCCTGATGACGTCACAAACTTTTTCATTTGATTCGTTTGGCGTGAGGTTGACTTAACAGGTGCTTTTATATGCGATCGGTAAATCGATATTGTTTCTACATCTCGGTCAAAACAAATACTGTCGGCGATATATTGGGGCAGTGTAGAAAACACCGCCAGGTAAGATCCCGTTCTGAAGATAATGCCCCATCTATTGCAGGGTTATAACATCTTACGATCTGCTTCACGTTTCCTTGTCTGGGAAGGCTGTCGGTAGTTGTATTAAAATGTCAGCAGTCTATTTCCGTTTTACCAAGTAAGCTAATGAAACCACTTAATAGAGAATCATCTGAAAAAGAAGGCACTGTGGACGGGTTTGGGGTCATTTATTGTTTTCCCTTTTTTTTTTAGAAAATTCTAAGTTTGTGATCTATATCAACGGTAAAATTGCTATTGTTTTAAAATTTGAACGATGTAGCAGTGATTTTTTTAAATGCCATCTGCATAAGGTTTGGTACCCAGATATG